GCCTACTGCTTCAGTGACTCCATCCAGCCACCTCATTCTCTGCCGTCCCTTTCTTCTTTTGCCCTCAATTGTTCCCAGCATTAGGTTCGTCTCCAGTGAGTCCTTCCTTCTCATTAGGTGGCCAAAGTATCTGAGTTTCCTCTTCAGGATCTGGCCTTCTAAACAGCAATCAGGGTTGATCTCCTCTAGGATTGATCGGTTTGATCGTCTTGCAGTCCAAGGGACTCGCAGGAGTCTTCTCCAGCACCATCGTTCAAAAATCAACATCATAGTCAAGGGCAATATAACATCCAGGTTCTCTGAGTGCCATGGACTAAATTATCTGAGCCACAAAGAGAAAAAGCCAACCAAACAGATATGAAAGCTTAGAAAAAGATAGATGAAAGAACAGGTGGTCTATCACTGATCAGCTAGGAGCCTAAGAAAAGGGCATGATAAAGTGGTGCCAAGAAGCTTCCAGAAAAGGGCTTGGAACTTGGGGAAAATGTGGTTTAGGCAAAGAAGAACCAGAGGAAAAAGCTGCAGGGAGAAGCCTAAGAGGAGAAAAAAACATGGATCACCAAGTAAATAAACAAAAAAGTTGGGCTTCGCCAGATTAGATTGCAGAGCCACAGAATCACAAAACAAAGGGCATGAAGCAATCAAATCTATGAGACAAGAAGCAAGGAAGAAATGCATTATATGTGAATTAGATGTACCATTCCCCCATATCCTTCAGTGTTACAAAAAAAGGGAGATTGTAACCCCAGCAACGTTGAAAGCATCATACTTACCATAAGTGGCTTTATGAAGTCCATATTATCCTGAAACGCTCTTTCTAGAGAAGCAAGTTGTTCCTTCGGCATAGAGCAAATTAAGGCCCGGCTGCCATTGTTGATAGCAACCAGTTCTGGAGGCTTGGTGAAATTGCACAAGTCTTCCACACTTATCTGATAACCAGATGTAATGACCTAGAAATATTGCCCAGATGTTATGCCATGGGGAAAACAGCTTTTCTGCTTCTTCATCACAGTTCATAATACTAAAATTATATCCTGCCTGCCTTACCCAACTCATGGATCCTCCAAAGACTGTTACTTAATTCCCTATAATTGGGTGGGTTGGGTGTGATAATGGAACATACAGTTTAAGGATGGATATTTCTTACCTGTTGGAGATTGACCTCAGCATTCAGGATTTCATCTATATCAGGCTGCGATAGGGAAGCGTTGTGGTGGAGAAATTCAGAGAATGTCTCATTGACAACCAGAAAATCCTGAACTTTGATACCTGCCGGGCAATTATGAAGTAAAATCCATTACAAAATAAAACACCAAATTTTTAAAATGAAGTCAAAAGTCATTTTAAACAGATATCTATATTAATATAGGTTAACAGCGATACACTCATCTTGAGCAATCCCAGAGTCTATTATTCTGTGGCAAGAAAGGAAAGGAAAAAGAATAGGGAAGAAAATCAATATTATGCTCAATGGCTTGATGAAACCCAAAATGCTTCTGTAATGTATATGGAAAGGAAAGAGACATTTTTGTTTCCATCTATCCATGTTGGGTACTGCTAAGAGTTCTCATGTAGTGCAGAGGACATATCAAATACACTGTACACAGGGGAAGGTTCCTACTGGTTTAACAACTGGTTCGCTGAGCGTACCCATGAGCCAGCATGCAAGCTGCGCGTACATGCACAGTTTACAGAATACTTACCTTCCAGATTGCTGCTTGGGAAGGAAAACAGCTGAGGCACAGCAATCTACTCTGCCGTGCGACTCAGCCGAGAAGATAAAAGGTAGGTAAGCCCAGGGGTGGGCGGGCAGGCCCACTTGCTTGTGGGAGCGAACCAGTTCACTCCCAGATGATCTTCAGAGCTACAGGTTCACCTGAACCGGTCCGAAACAGTAGAATCCCACCCCTGACTCTGCAGGTAGTCCTCGATTTATAGCCATTTGTTCAGCAATTGAAGTTATGAGAGTACTGAATGAATGGTGATTATGACTTGTCCTTGGAATGCCCCTGATGCCCCTGTGGTCACATGATCAGGATCTGGGCATTAGACAATCTGCTCCCACCTATGACTAGTTGAGAAATAGCCCACAATCACATCTTCCTGCTGGCTTTTTCAGAAAGTCAATTGGGAAGCTGGCAAGTCATTGGGTTGAGTTTCCTCTGCCCACATACTTGTCCAGCCACTATGTGATCATGCTACACTGGCTATTCACACACTCCCATGCACTCTCCTCAATCCACACTGCACACCTACATCCCTGACCTGAGCAGCACCTTTTGTGCACCTCCCTGACCTCCCACACCCTCACATGAACCCCTGCACACCCTCTTGCTCCCTGCCCCACCTGGCAGTAGACAGTTACCTAACTGTTACTCTGGTACAATGTCCTACCAACTAACTTTGGTTGTGAGAAGCTTGCAGAAAGTTGCCTCAGCTAACAGCTGTGGCATTCAGTTAATAATGGCAACCCGGGCTGCGGGAATTTCCTTCGCTAAGTGATGAGGTTGTGCTAACCGCATTGGTTAGTGAATGGAAATTCCAATTCCAATTGTGGTTGAAGTTAAAAATTACATTTAATGCTAAAGGGTAGGGGAAAGAAAAATAGGGATAGTCTTGATTTGCATTAAGGATTGGCTTGGGCCACTTAACTTTTGGGATGCATTCAGAAAGTTCTGAGGAACAAGTTTTCTCCCTCTCTCTTAAATCAGAGTTCTTCCATTGCCTCTGGCCTGAATCACTGTTATCATATATATATATATATTTAACTATATCTCTGGGCTAAGGAAGACAGTCTAATATCTAGCTCAGTATTGTGACTTTATTTAAGCTGCCAATTCAACTGCAGGGCCCTTACCTTTTGTAATAGCCCACCTGACAACTGTTTTTAGAAAGTTAATTAAGGCAGATATGGTTAAAATTCAAAAGAATCAGAGTGTAATTTATGGGTCTTACAAACCTCTTTCCCAATTTTTTAGCCACTTAGGCTAGTTGGTAACAACATACAAGCTACCTTTGGGGAAATGTCATCTGCCAGAAAAACAATTAAAACACTTTCAGAATTACAGATAATTAAGAAAGTATTTATGTTCTCCTTTCCTTGAATGTATGAGAAGAAGATCTGTATGTCTCAAAAGCATTAAAGCCTGTCCTTGAAAAACTACCCGGCCCCCTTTGAATGGTTTTATTTGTATTGTTTTATTTTGTCATTTTTGCTATGGAAAAATCCATAATTATGCTGAGTAGGAATTTGAAGAATTGCAATCCCAGCATTTTTGAAGAGCACCACACTGGGGAAGGTACCTTAGTAGTGTGCATTGGGTCACAGAGGTGGAAAAAACATGTTGGATCTTCAGGAAGACTAAAGGAAAAGGTTCCCCTTGTACATATGTGCTAGTCGTTCCCTTCTCTAGGGGACAGTGCTCATCTCCGTTTCAAAGCCGAAGAGCCAGCGCTGTCCGAAGACGTCTCTGTGGTCATGTGGCTGGCATGACTAAATGCAGAAGGCGCACGGAACGCTGTTACCTTCCCACCAATGTTGGTCCACATTTTTTCTACTTGCATTTTATGTGCTTTCGGACTGCTAAATTGGCAGAAGCTGGGGCAAGTAATGGAAGCTCACTCCGTTATGCGGCACTAGGGATTTGAACCGCTGAACTGCCGACCTTTCTAATCAACAAGCGCAGCGTCTTAGCCACTGAGCCACCGTGTCCCCTTCAGGAAGATTAGCTGGCTTTAAAAAAAATTAATCTGCTCACAAGGTTATAAATATATAAATGCTCTAGAGTGCCAGGAAGCCTGGAATGAGAATCCCAGGACCTGCAGAGGAGGAACGGGACAAGAAGTGTCTCTGTAGGAGGAGTGGAAAGAAGGCAGAAGTTCCACAGGTGAAGAAAAATGGGCTCTCCTCTCTCCTTTTATGCCATTCCAAACTAGTCCTGCTTTAGTCAGACCCAATTTGGCAGACCTCAATCGGTGTAGAAGATTATGAGGCGAAGAAAAAAAATCCAGCACTTTCTAGTCTTCAGCTCAAGCATGAAATTTCTGAGGTTACTGTCGGTCAATGCTCTCTTGCCCAGTTAGTTCCTTGTCTTCTTTTTTTTTTCTTACAAGCAAAATAATCACCGTCAGCAGATGGTTTGAGACAAAGGCTGGGCTACAGCTGGTGAGAGGTTACTTGAGGATGAAAAACCCTTTTAGAGCTATTTGTTATAGTCTCAAGGCAATTTGATTAGAGAAAAAAGAAGAGAAAGGGGAAGAAGATGTTTGGGAAGAAAGTTAAAAAGAAATATTGTGGTGTCACAGAAAAGAATAGATAGGCAACTCGCTACCCTCCAGATGTTTGGAGCCTTCAATTCCTATTATCCTCACAGGCTCAGTAGTCAGGGACTGTCTCTTTCCCATAACCTTGGTGGGAGGGATAATCCAATTATGGATCTCTAAAATAAGTTTTAAAATAAACCAAGAAATTAAAAGACTCTTGCTTCTGGGGAGGAAAGCTATAGCAAATCTAGACAGTATACTAAAAAGCAGAGACATCACCCTGCCAACAAAAGTGCCCTTGACTATGATGTTGATCTTTGAACTATGGTGCTGGAGAAGACTCCTGCGAGTCCCTTGGACTGCAAGGCGATCAAACCGATCAGTCCTAGAGGAGATCAACCCTGACTGCTCCTTAGAAGGCCAGATCCTGAAGATGAAACTCAAATACTTTGGCTACCTAATGAGAAGAAAGGACTCACTGGAGAACAGCCTAATGCTGGGAAAGATGGAGGGCAAAAGAAGAAGGGGACGACAGGGAATGAGGTGGCTGGATGGAGTCACTGAAGCAGTAGGCGTGAGCTTAAATGGACTCCAGAGGATGGTAGAGCACAGGAAGGCTTGGAGGAATGTTCTCCATGGGGTCACAATGGGTCGGACATGACTTCGCAACTAACAACAACAACAAAATAAGTTTGATTTTAGTCCTGAAGCATCCTTGTGCCACTAGAAACAAGATGTAATGGGTTAGTTCCATTGCCAATACTATTCAGGAGACTGTTATGTAAACAGCCCACTGCAAGCTTCTCTGCTATCAGTGAAAAAAACAACTTCCTCTCCAGATCACAAGAAAGCTGACAGGAAAAAAAAAACATTGAAAAAATTTCCATTCCAACGACATCCATGTGGGAAGGGGCAGGGGAGAGGAAAATTACAGCAGCATTACACCCATGCAATGCAAACTCCATTTTTTGACATCATGCATGTATTGTTCTTCTATATAACAAAAAACATGAAGCTTACTGTTTTGATGAGCATGGTGGATCCTCTACTCCACCATAATATATTAGGGATAAATCGGTTCTAACTGGAAATCGTTCAATTGCTCAAATTCCTGTAACCCTTTTGACCCGATAAATCTTGCTTAAAAAAAACCTGCAAAAATCTTGTGTGACTGGAGGCAGCTGCCAAACAGTTTGATACAAAGAGGTCACTGTGTCCCTCAAAACAATGGAGATCAACGTGTGCTCCATTCCAGCATCCTATTTCTTATAAACGGATTCCGGATTCCAATATAGATATTTAGCTTCCAAAATGAAAGGAAAATATAGGCAAGCCATACCTAAGCATTCATTAAAATAAAAACACACACAGTCATCTTAGCTAATATCATTTATCCCAGGGAGAGAATTGTTTTAGAAATGAGGCACCATCATAGAAAACACAGATTCTGGATACTGCCTGCCTTATCTCAGATGTTGAACACACTTAGAAGATTAGCTTTAAAGAAGATCTCAAGCTAAATTAGGTTGATATAGACACAAACATTCTCCAGGAAGCCTTGTGTTATAAGTCTGATAGGATTTGAAAGGTGGGATTCAGCAAGTTCGCACCTACTTGGGAGAACCGGTTGTGGGAAGAAATCTCTTTTTGATTTTTTCCCACTTTACCAAGCTAATCCTGTAAGGAAGGTAGGAAGGAAACATTCTGGTGTTGTTTCTAGCCTAATCTTTATTGCTCTGCTTACATAAACTGCCTCTCTGGTTAACCCTTATTACATTGTAACAGCTAAAGTGAAGTGCCCATTAATATGAGTAACGTTGAATTGGATACACTCACCCAGTCACATGATAACCGAGCCACGCCTACCCAGCTGGTCATTAGGGCAGAGAACCGGTTGTTAAATTATTTGAATCCCACCACTGTAAGCACCCCATTGTGAATTTTGGTTGGAAATAGCCCCATGTAATCAATCCAACCTATTACCGAAATATAGACAGTGGCAGACA